TTACTTAATACACACCTGTGAGTCATTTCTTGTGCTACTTGTATTTTTTGACCATGGGTTCATCTTCCATAGAGTGTTTTCCCTCTCTGGGTGTTTGGTGTTTCCAGGGTTGTGGAAAGTGGTGGTTTTCTGTTTGATTCTGCTGAGGCCCTTTGAATCTTACTGATTTTTTTTTAAACTATTGGCTTAGAATTCTTGCTTTACAAATAAGTTGTATAAACCCAGATTCCACATCTACATATGGCACAAATTTATAAATTTATTATTCCAAATTTCCCTGGGCTGATGGGAAGAGTATTTCCAGTCTCTTTTTAGGATTGGGACACCTCTATGAGGGTCTGGTTTTGTGCAGAGAGTTGAGCTGCATCTCCCACCATGCGTAGACTGAGGTCATGTTCTCTCAACTTGCAGGGGTGGTAAACCCTGCGGTCAGCCACTGAGTTTGTGTCTGGTCTGACATACCTTTAGCTCCTGTTTGCTGCTTGATTTTGGATATTCTTCTCTCTGTAATGTGAGGATTTATTTTCTTTCTTTGACCTTGGTTATATATTTAAAGAATTTTCTCTTGGTGCTTATGTGTTTTGTTTTGTTTTGTTTTAGATTTTATTCATTTATTCATGAGAGACACAGAGAAAGAGGCAGAGACACAGGCAGAGGGAGAAGCAGGCTCCCTGTGGGAAGCCCCATGCGGGACTCAGTCCCAGGAACTCGGGATTATGACCAATCCAAAGGCAGAGCTCAACCACTGAGCTACCCAGGTGCCCCTGTGCATATGTTTCTATAGGCGGAGGAAACCCTTCTGATCATTTCAGTCTCCCATTTTGCTGCTCCTTAATATAAGAAATAGAGGTCGAGGACAGAACCCTGGGGTCCAATGACAGATGAGGGACAGAAATAGGAAGTGAAATCCCACAAGGAGATGGGAGAAACAGTAGAAATAGAACAAGGAGAGCGCTGGTCTTTAGGAAACAGGGAGAACAGCTTTTAGTAAGGCTCTCTTATGTGATGTGAGGCCAGCTTTTCCCAGGGATAGCATATTGTTCATCCTGCAGACTCAGAAGGCCTCTTTGGAAGGAAAACTCAGAGAAATATAAAAGAAATATAAAAAGAGGAGGATCAGCTGAATTTATAAAGGGAACTCAAGGCACTGGTTCTACAGCCCCCCTCCCACTACCAAGGAGCACTGCTTAGGATTAATTGGGGAACTTTTGGTTGTTTTTGTGAACCTGGGAGGGACTCTTTTCTGCATTTTTAGCTAAATATGCCAAATTCCACCCCACAGGACCTCCGGAGACGACAAGGAGGCTGGTTTGCCTGTTTGGAATCCTATATTGTCTTCCTCTTGTTATTTTAGGGCCACATGTATATACATGATGAATAAGAGCAAACCCACATTACTTGGATCCTGTTCCTTCCTAATCCCACCATTCCTCTTGGAATGTTCTTAGCCATTATCTTTTTGGATACTGCCTTTTCTGCATTCCAATTACAGAAATTCATACAACTTTAAGGTTCATTTAGGCTCTGATTGGAAAGCATTTGGGCTTCTTTTTGGAGGAATCTCAGTTCTGGTTCTGTGGATCTTTGTGGCTGCAGAGGAATGTATCTTGCAGCTTGGAATATATCTCTGGGCTGTGCAGAGTGAAGGAACTTGTGTGCCATGTACCTGAGTCTTCAGTAAGAGACTTTTACATCATTTTCTAAGTTTTCAAACAAGGACAATCTATGTCATCTCATCACAACCCTGGAAGTGGGTAATGCTGATGTCAACATCCCCATTTTACAGATGAAGAAATATGGCTAGAGAGGTGAAATGACATCCCCAAAGTTAGAGATAGAACTGGATTTATACTTCAGGCATCCTACCTCTGAGCCTGGTGCTATTCCCTCCACTCCATTCTGTCTGTGCATGTTTGTGCAGGCTTAAGTGGAGACACCCATCCCTATACCCAGGTTTCTGCCAACCTGATCACAAACAGCCTGTGAACCTCTCTGCCCCTCACTCTTTCCCCATGCCACACACTAGGAGAGATTACATTCCTTCCTCCCTTTCTCTCCTGGCCCCTGTATCTTTCACACATCCACCACTGCTGCTAACAGACCTCAGACAATGCCAAAGGAATGGTTGACCCAGTTCACAGAATTCACAACAAAATCTATAGCATTTCTGGGTAGAAACAATGGCTAACACCATCTTTCTTGGCATTACTTTTTATTGAATACAGATTTACAGTCTTGAAATATCTTGAATATAGTGCTTTCAATTTACGGTTCTTTAGTCATACATATATTTCTTTAAAGCAAAACTATAACTTAAAATTGAAAGGCTATAAATACACATGTATATATTGCCATAAATCTAGAATAATTTTATAAAAATAGAACTAAAATGTCAACTTTGTATATTTTGGCAACTTAGCAGTGTTGTAAGGTGGCCACAAGCATTTTTATTATGCATCACTGCCCCAGTGTGACTCTCTTCAGATATCATTTTCCATCTCTTTGGGGACACTTGGAACAGTATCTATTACCAGGATCCCCCAGAGGGATGCCCATGGCCATGGCTTAGCATTGCCTTTGCATAAAGACTCAGTGCATCCATCTGTTCTTGGAGGGGGAAGACCAGCTTCCAGATTCTTCCTCAGAAAGAGGAGGTGTTCCCTCCTGTCAAATGTCCACAATCCTACACTTCTTGAAGCCCTCACAGTGTATGGTTGATACCTGAATATACAGAGTCAGTTTCCTTTCCCTATGCTCAGAGAATGATAGATGTGTTTGGTTCTTTCAAATCAGTGTAAAAAGTCTGAAACAAATTCATCCAAACAGTGGGGTAACATCTTCCTGACAGTGAACATGAATCCCCACTTGCTTGCGCAAGGCCCCTTACACATGTGCTCTGCAATCCTCACAGCCTTGCAAGTTTGGAACATTCTTGTCTCCATCTGATGACAGGGAATTGAGTCTCTGGGCATTTAAGTCTCTTGGTTAAGATCCATGGGGTTGCCTGACCCCCAAATCAGAGATCTCTCTGCCTGCCTTCAAATCCATGGAGGGAACCAGAAGAGAACTCAGATCTGTACTGTGGCCATTTGGTGAGAACGGACAAGTGGCTTTGGGTCAACTTACAGCAGGTAGACAGTAGTTCCCCAGATATTCCTAGGATTCTTGGGCTGCAACTTCCCAAGGAGAGCAGGAAGGTGGATGTCTGTGGAAGAACTATGGACTTACAGACAGTGCCAAAATCTTCCAGATCACCCAATAGGGATCCTCAATCTAAAACCAGGGCTCAAAAAATTGACTGCTTGGGGTTGTTTGTGTTTTTGAAGAGTTGAGCAAAGGTCATAATGCCAGCTGCCCCCATCTTAGCCTTGCCTTCAATACAGGTCAAAGTGCAGAAAGCTTGCTCAGTGGCCCAAAGGGGCATGTGCAGGGTCCCTGGGCCAGAGTGCAGTGCTTAGAGTGCTGCAGAGCACAGTGAGAATGGGGCGAGGGGGCTTTTTCAGGAACCCCCTGTAGGTTGCACAGCAGAACTCAGTGTGGTGAGAGCCAAGCTCTGTACCTCCTCTAGACAGAGACAGACTGCCTCAGCTATTTGCAGTTTTGATTTTCTGGTTGCTTTCTGACTTTTGACTTTTTAGATTTACCATAAAAATATTTTGCAATGGGGAGTGCCTCTCATATGTCCTGGATGATCACAGCCTCTCAGGACAAACTTAACTTTGGCTCTGTGCATGATCTACCTCTCAAGGCTGACTCTGGACATAGTCATTCCCTCCTACTGGCCCTGCTCCCCTCCAGCGGTCTCTTCAAACTGCTCCATAACTGCACCCCACCCACCCACCCACTGCCAGGCCAGGGAGAGCCCTGCTCTGTGTTCCTCCATGTGAGATTTGGTTAGAATTCCTAGTTAACATCCTCCACATAAAGGAGCCCAGCTGTCTGCAGGTGGATGCTTGGGCCACTGAGATCATTTTCTGAAGTTAATGTCACAGTGTTTTGTTTTTTTTTTTTAAAGCCTCCCTTAAGAATGAATAAGACAAAACAAATAAACAACAACAGAAAATCCCCAAAGCAACCCTCTCTCTTCTCCTCAAGAAATCAGATCACCTGTAAGGGTATGATTCCTGTGAAGGGGAGTGGTGAAGCAACCAGGAAAAATGTGAGTGGCATTATTCTTGGGGAAGCAGACTGCTCCTTCCTCCATCTCTGCTGCTTGGCAGGCATTGTGCTGTTTACTCATCCAGGACTCGCTGGTGGCCCCAGGGAAGCAGAGCAGCACTACTCCAGTGTAATGGCGGATGAGTCTTTCTCCCCTATCAGAATAGCAGGACAAGACTTTCCAAACTCAATGGAAGGCTGCCCCTGGGAGACGAAAGGAGAAATGCGTTCTGGGGCCTGGGTCACTATATTTTAAATTAACTCTGTGTGTGTGTGTTTATAGGGGATGGGGTGTTTACAGCACTATATGGCTCAGTGCAGGCCACCCTGAATGCCATGATTGCACTGCTTTGAATCTGAAAACAATACTCCCTACTCCTCCGCAAGAGAAAAGAGGTAATGACCTGAGTTAGCTTTCTTCATGATTCATGTAGGTACATTGAATGTAATAGGGTGACTCATTCTTTTTTTGGGTAAAACATCACCTGGACCCTCTAGGTCTTGCTAGAGAAGAAGACACCACCATTAAGCTTCTGAGGCTATGGAGGGAAGGTGGTGTAGACTTCCCCATCTCACCAAGGTTGCCTCAGAGCCAGGCTGGTCTATTTCCCAGTACACAGGCCAAAGGACAGTGTGACAAATAAGGATAGTCTCAATGTCTAATGAGGGACACTTTCCTCCCAAGACTCCTGCTTTGCGTGATGCCTCAGTGTGGTCTCTGTGTTGGGCCCTGAGGACAGGGGAGCTACCCAAAGCTAGGGAGAGGGTTGGGAGCAGGGGTTTGGTAGGGTCTAGCAGCTGAAGAATTTTGGGTTTGGGGAAATGAAACATCATGGCAGGAGTCAAGGTTGGTGCCCCTGGATGGGCCTCATAGCTTTTTCTTTTGTTGCCAGTGGCTTGCCCACTGTAGACTGTGGCAGACTGCAGAGGTCCCTCATTTCAATGAGGCTTTCTTCCACTGCTTTTGCAAACTTGGTAGAAGAGGTGTCTTTGCAGCCATGAAAACTGGAGATGCAGAAAAGGATGCTCTCTGGCTGGGGGTTGTAACAGGCACCATACCCGTTGGGTACCACAGGACCATAGCAGCAAAACATCTCCATGGTTGTGGGCACCTGGAGGAGAGGACAGGTCAGAAGCTGCTGGTTCTGAAACGTAACCTGTGAACTTGCTAGAATACAGGGCATTTTCAATGATCCTGAGGACTCAATGGGTTATTTACATCTCTATTTTCCACCTGGGCATTTGACTGAACCAAATGAACCAATTACTTCAGCATGGATGGTCATAGCCAGAGTCATAATAACAAACCCAACTAACTGCACAATATCATAAGAAGAGGGTCCATAAGCCACTCCCTGGTGGGAAATCTGCTCTACATGTGGGGTTAGAATCTCCCAGAGTGACCTGTGCTGGGCCTCAGGCTGAGTCTCTCCTTCACCTGGGATGAGAGGCTGTTGGAGGCATTGAGGCAATCAAGGTAATTTACTCAATGGCACCCTGGTGGCACCCAACGGTTGGATGGCTTCCCAGAGGGAGTAATTTATGAACAGAAGGAAATCTGGCCTGTCTTCTCTGTCGATTTTCCCCACATCCTTAATTACTGTCAGTATTGCCTGGCTGGTCTGATTTTCTCCCCACAGCCTGGCCATGCACAATTACCCAGCGTTGGGCATTTCAGGGATTGCCATCGACTGGAGTTTTAGTTATACACCTAATACGTTTTGAATTCAGAGAGCTGAAATTTTGTAATCAGGATCACAAATCAGGGAAATATGTCTCGGATGGCATTCAAGCCATAAATATGTTCATTTCCAGGTGGGAGAAAGAAAACAAACAAACAAACAAACACCAAACTACCATACTGGCTAATCTTATTAACGAGTCTTAGGGGGAAAAATAGAACACATTCTTGGGTGGTTGCAGGGTGGAGCTTGTTTTTACACCAGGGCACCGTGTAGTCGGGCCTTCAGAACTGACACTGGCCATTTAAATGGGGCAGAACAAACCATTAGTCTTGCTAATAGAGTCACCTCTTTGTCAGATAAATTTGCCGTGCGATAGCTGAAGGCTGTAAAACCGTTCCAAAGCACTTTTTGCCCATGGATGGTTTCCTGAAGAATTTATATTGTGTCCTGTTCTCGTTTATTCGCTTCTGTGAGCTCACTGCTGTGATGTCAAAATCAAATCACTGAGTGGGCTTTTATCCTCAAACACAACTTTATTAATCCTTCTCATTGCCCAGGTTCATCCTTTAGCAGATGAAGCTTTAGGGAGCTGATGTTCGAGGGTTCTTTCCTAAACTGCCTGCCCTTCTCTGATGGATTTTATTCTGTCTTTGTCACAATGGTCCTCCCACAGGATGGGCCTGTAGCATTGTTTAGGAGACCGTGGGGCTGGCAGCTAATCACCTGCCGTTGGTGGTGCAGCCCTTCACAATAATGACCATGACCTGTTTGGAGGGTCCTGTCCATGCCAGGTACTGGGCTAGGCTTTCTACTCAAATTGTCACTTTAGTTGAGCCACGACTTCACTCTAGACCTGTTGGGCTTCTGAGCCTGTGGCCATCATGGTGGAACACCACCCCTCAAGTAACAGAAAGATAGTACGATAGTTAGGACACCCTTTCCCATCTAGTCCACCTCTATTAAGGTGGCATCCATGATCACACCCATTTAAATGGTTGGGAAACCAGCACTCTGAGCATTTAGGTCACTTAGGTCATTTTACCAAAGGTCACGCAGCTTGTGAGAAGCAGAGCTGGGACTTGCCTGCCTCCAGCCAGTGGGCTGTAGTCACTGACTTATGCTAAATGGTCTTTTAGAAAGGCCACTGGTTGCACTAAGTGGCCCCTTGGGTGACAACTGCAGTAGGGCTGTACCTGGCTGGTTGAGAGGATGAACCGGTTGCTCATCAGGTATGTTTCATCTGTGAACATCTCAGGCAACTCCTTGCATGTGTCCCGGGCCAGCTCCCGCAGCGCCAGCAAGTGGTTGTCGATGGCCATCCCTGTTATGGCCTGGGTAGTTGAGGACAAAGGACAGGAAATGAGGCAGAGGCTCCTGTGCCCTCTTCCCTTGCCCCCGCCCCTTCTCTAGTCCACAATGCTAATAGCTACTGCTAGGGCCACAGCTTGCACTTACCCAGTGCTTGCTGCAGATAATGTGTATGAGTGGCCGCCCAGGACTGACCACTCTACTACTCAGATCCTTCCTATGTGCACAAGGCAAATCCAGAGCAGGCTGGGTTCTAAAATGAGCGTGCCTGAGTTAAAGGTCTATGAGTCTCAGTATCCCCTGCCTCTCAACCCCCGCACAGTCATTGCTGACCATACACTGCGTATGACCACTCACATGGAAGGGGTGGGGTGGGCACCCCTACTTACTTGTTAGGCAGAGGAGGAGTCTGGGGAGGAAGATGAGTGTGGGCCCTGGTGAAGCAAGGAGAGGGCTGCTCAGACTGTCCCTGGGCACTCTTACCACAACCAGCACTTAATCCTCCAGCAGGAGTCCAAGGAATGAGGGATAGAGAACATTAAGGTCTGTTCCTAAATCTTGGTTCCTATTTCATGGGCTCAAAATCAGTTCAACTAAACTGGATTTACAATCAAAGTAATCATTCTGAGACAGGAACTAGAGGCTCTGCTGATGTTTGCAAGGGGAAAGCTTATTGAGTGAATAAAGATTTTTTTCTTTTTATCACAAGCTACTTGAACACTTATCAAAGGATAAGATAATAGCAGTGGAGACTCCAGAATGAATATGTGGGTAGAACTCAGAGGTGGTGGTGTGGCTGGAAGTTGGGCAGTGGGGCCATGGTACTCATTTCATTTCTTTCCCACTTGAGGCTGCATGTGTACACACAAATTGGTTTTGCTTGGATTACATGTTTATTTGGGGCAGTTTTGGGAGCTGATGGAGATTTGACTACCTCTGGTCTACAGTCCTAATCTCTGTTCCACATCAGGGTAATTGTAAATCTTGGGAGGTTCACAGTTATGTAAGGTGGCCACTTAAGCTGTTAAAGCCCCACTTAGGAGGAAGCCTCCATCACGATGAACGTTGTTCAAGTTTACAAGGCACGTTTTGGGATTTGACAGCTGTTCTTTTTCAGTGGAGAATGAATGCATAAAGATGATTCAGAGGCCCCAGTCTCTTCAGATGCACTTAATTATAGGCTGAAAAGCCATGTTATACAACCACAGCTCACTTTTAGACGTGCCCTGTTAGGACAGGGGGGACAAACTCGGAATCTGTCTAGAAGTGAGTGGACTTCTAATTTCTCTGGTGACCTCTGCTTAATTGCCGATTTGTGTAGATCTATAGAAGCAGCTGCTCTGTGCAGCAGCCATCTCCCCGCCTTCACCACCTGGAGCTCACTGTAGCAACTGGGGTTGATTTAACAGATTGTTTGGATTAAGGCCATGAGTAGTAATGAGTAAAATGATTCATCGTTCAGTCCTTCATTCATTCAGGGAATCTTACTTGAGCATCACACTATGTGCCCAATGCTTCTGGGTGCTGGGGGTGGAGGGTGTCATGAAGGAAAAGCATAAGGTGCTGTGAGAATCTGTGATGGAGTCTCTGAACCACACTTGCTTCTTCACTGGGATGTCCTTCTCCCACTACCACAACCAAATATAGCTGTCAGAGAGCTAAAGCTTTCCTTGCTTCTTTCCCCTGTCCCTTACTCCACACAGCCAACCAGGCACCAGACTCAGCACAAAGCATTTTTATAGCCCTGCCCTTTCCACCCCCATCTCTTTTATTTAGCTGTTCTCATCAACTTAAAATAGTTAATACAGCCGAACCCTAGGGCTTTACAAGATATTTTTCTAAATCTTTCATAAGCATTTAAATTATTACCAAAATTATATATTTATATAGTTTAAAACCCCAAAGAAGCTAAAGAGTTCTGTCAATTTGCCAGGTCTGATTCCTACTCCACAGAGGCAACCATTTTTAGCTATTTAATTTTCTTAGTTCTAAGTAACAGTCTTAGGCTGCCATCACTACATTTTCCAACTTTATCTATATCTTCTTGTTATAGAAGATGAAACTCTGGCTCTTTTATACTCTTGCTCCCCAAATATCCTTCCATTCTCCCATTCTCTCAATAGAGTTACATTTAACTCTTCATTGTTTGATCGGTATTCAGTGTTGACATGATTATAATTATGCAAGTATTCACAGGGGAGTCTCATGGTGTATTATGATTAGATTTCCTTTCTTACTCATCTTTGGTTTTCCTTGGAATTGACAATTTTTAAATGATTAAATTATGATTTCCCCCACTTGCTTACCTTTCTATGTATCTATAACTAATTGGTTCTTAAGCTGTCAGTCAGAAGTGTAAAACTTTTCTTAATACATTCAAATAAATCAGATAGCTTATCAATTTCATCCCACCTCTCACTTCTTGCTTCTCTATGGTTCCTATGTCTGCTGAACAAATGTCAACTTGGGATCTCCCTTTACTTTCATCCTCTTTCTCTCTTTCTTGTGTTGAACCTTCTGATTTTTGGAGCCCATGATTTCTTTTATATTTTATCTCTTACTTTAGGTCTATATCGTCCAATAGTTTTACAAGAAAGAAAGCTTAATAAGTAAAACTTTTGAGAACTTGTCTGTCTGAAACTTTCTTCTGTCTTCAAAGCTGATTATAGTTTAGCTGGGTATAGAATATGCATTAAAAATCACTTTGCCTCAGAGTTTGAAGACATTATTCCATTATCTTCCACCTTCCAGTGATGCTGCTGAGAAGTCCAGTTACACTTTTATTTATTTATTTATTTATATTTAGTATATTTTTTATTGGAGTTCGATTAGCCAACATATAGCATAACACCCAGTGCTCATCCCATCAAGTCAGTTACACTGTTATTCCTGATCTTTGACCTTGATTTTTTTCTGAGAGATTTTAGGATCTTCTCTTTGACCTTTGTGTTGTGAAATTTCCTTGGTATGAATATTTTAATCTATTATGCAAGGTACATGGCAGACTTTCTCAATGTCTTGAGACTCTCAATGAGACTCAAGCTCATGTCTTGCCAATTCTGAGAAATTTTCCTGAATTATTTTGTTGTTCCTCTCTACACCCATTTTTTCTTCCTGGACATTTATTACTGGGGTTTTGATCCTCTGGTACTGAGCCTTTTTTCCTGTCCTGTATTTCATTTCTTTGTTTTGTTGATATTTTGGGAAGATTATTTCATCTTTATCTCCAAATGCCCCCATTGCATTTTTTCTACTGTATTTCTCCCCAAAGTTATTTTTATTTCTTCCAGAAAGATTTTTTTATTTTCATGTCCTTATTAATGAATGCAACAAGTTCATTATCCTTCAGAGGATCTCAATTATAGTTTTTAAAAATGTTCTCCTGCTTCCTGCCTTGTTTTAATTTCCTTGAAGCTTCTCTTAAATTATTTTTATTTTTTTCTTAAATTATTTTTAAAAATTAAACAAAAATTTAAAAATTACACAGAAATGTTTGTACTGGTTTCCATGTTTTATATTAGCAGATCTCCTCAATGTCTGATGATTTATGGCTATTTGTTTATATCTCAGAATAAAGCATGAGAAGGATGATTAGAAGATACACGTGTAAGCCTGTGTTTGCCATCTGGTAGACTTTACTGGGAAGTGAGCCAGCCAGGCTGTTTCATTGGGCACCCCAGCTATCAGTGTCTGTGACTTTGTTCTCTTGGCCTGGTCAGTCTCACCACTGAGAAATCCTCTAACCTCATGCTTGGGGAGAGGTGGTAATAAAAGTACTTCCCGGTATACCTGGAGCTGAATATGTAGACTTTGATTAATCACCCTGTTTAGTTTGATTAACTTTCCCTGAGCTCAAGCTGGTGTTCCCAAATCTAGAGTCCTCTGTCTTCAACTTTTCCAGAGCTTCTAGACTACCATTGAGAAAGGGGAAGGTAGTGGCCTGGCTGCATGGGGTAGTAGAAAGGAGCTGAGGTTCTAACTGCTTCTTAAATAGATCATCAACCAATCCTCTTCTTTTCAGCCCTGTATGCACTTGTATTTTTGGTGGGTACCTCCAATGACTGAGCCATTCTGAGGTTCTGCAGTACGATTCATTGGGCTCCTGGGTCTCCCTTACTATTTGCTTGGGTTTCAGCTTCCTCTGGTTTGCTAAGTCACTTGCCATCTCTTCTACTTTCCAACTCTAAAACTTTGCTGTTCCCTCTTTTCCCATTCTCTTTGCCTAGTGTATTCATGGCTTAAGAAAACCCCTTCACTGATATTTTTGAGCATGAGAGAGAGAGGCAGAGACATAGGCAGAGGGAGAAGCAGGCTCCATGCACCGGGAGCCTGACGTGGGATTCGATCCCGGGTCTCCAGGATCGCGCCCTGGGCCAAAGGCAGGCACCAAACCACTGTGCCACGCAGGGATCCCCCCCCCTTTTTTTAATTTTTAATGTCCACTGTGTTTAAACAGAAGTTGGTGTCTTCCTCTTCAATCTCTTGCCCCTGCTCTATGTCAGTCCTTAGCTCTACCAAAATATTACATAGGTTCCTAATTAGTGTCACTGCATGTTGACAGACCATCCCTGCTCCAACTTTTCTTTCTTCTACCTGGTCACCAGAGTAAACCTTGTGACAGAAATATCCCATATCATAAACTCCTCTGCTCCTCTGTCCTTTGCAAGCTGCACACACTGAACTACTTGCTTTTCCTCCAATGTGTCCTATGCTTTCAAGATTCTTTGCCTTTGCACATACTGTTCCCTTCTGGGGCCATTCTTCTCTTCTATGTCCACCTGACAAGCACCTCTTCAACCTTCAAGTCTCATAGCAAGTACCACTTCTTCTGGGAAGTCTTCCTGGATTTCCCAAGCAGAGGAACTAGCTTGCCCCTCTATGCTGTCTTCTACTTCCTGAGAGTTCTTTTCACACGGGATGAAATTTATCATTTAAGGGCTTTTCCTCCCAGTTATTCCCTAAGGACAGGATTTATGGACTTCACCTTTAATTCCTACAACCCAGTGTTTGTCTGGCATAAAGCAGGAAAGCCAAAAATACTCATTGAATACACGAGAGTGAGCTTGATTTTTCCCCAAACAGAATGAACACTTAACTCTTCAGATGAATTAGGAACCTGGTAACTGAATTGGAAAGAAGTCTACATTGGCTAGTTCTACAACCCAGATAATGCATTGTACTTATTTTCAAGTATATGGAGTGAAAATCAGTCAACCCTTTTTCTTTTCTTTGTTTTTTTTAAAAGATTTCATTTATTTATTCATGAGACACAGAGAGAGGCAGAGACATAGGCAGAAGGAGAAGCAGGCTCCCCATAGAGAGCCCGATTCGGGACTCAATCCCAGGACCCCAGGATCATTCTGCTGAGCCACCCAGGCATCCCAGTCAACCCCTTTTCATAGGTTATGTGATCCTTCAATGGCTATATCAGAATGATTTTCAATTAATATACTGATGACCAGTCCAAGTAGTAGCTTATTTTCTGTTGTTTGTATGTAAATTATGGCTCTGCCATGCTAGAAAACAAACTATTTCCCTAAACAAAACATTTCCTTTAAAATTTTGATTTTGGGTTGCCTCAGTGGCTCAGTAGGTGAGGCGTCTAACTCTTGATTTCAGCTTAGGTCATGATCTCAGGGTTGTGAGACTGGGCATGGAGCCTGCATAAGATTCTCTCTCTCTCCCTCTTCTTCTACCCCTCCTCCTCTGCTCTCTCTCTCTCTAAAAAGAAACAAAAGTAAAAATAAATAAAATTTTGATTTCACTATTAATCTTGAGCAAAGAATTTTTATTCATAAGCAATGTAAATTAAAAAAATAAGAAAGCGAAACAAGCCCTAGGTGGCAATAAATACTGCCTCACCTGCAATGATGAAAGGTGTACAAACCACTACAGTTTGCCAGGCTTGGCCACCATCCCTCACATTTGACTTCTCCTGTTGTATAAACTGTAAAGTGCTATACATATATGGTGCTATTATTATCATTATTGTCTTTTCAAAGACCATTCATTGTATTCTTTTTTTTAAGATTTTATTTATTTATTCATAGAGACAGAGAGAGAGAGAGAGACAGAGACACAGGCAGAGGGAGAAGCAGGCACCATACAGAGAGCCTGACGTGGGACTCGATCCCGGGTCTCCAGGATCACACCCTCGGCTGCAGGCGGTGCTAAACCGCTGCGCCACCAGGGCTGCCCCCAGTCATTGTAGTCTTATAAAATCCATGTAAAAATGAGTGCTGTGTTACACAGTTTCTAAAAATAAGAAAAAGACTCTGAGACACATGGCTTTGGCTAAGTTGCTGGTTAGTTGGTGGCCCAGCTCCCACCCAGGTCCTGTGCCATGGCCCTATGCCTGCAGATCCAGCTTTGGGCTCAGCCCACAGTCATGAGCTCCCCCAAGAAGAGGCACTGCATCACTCACCATGACTGTGTACTCAGTCTGGGCTCGGATGGCATCCTTTAGGAGCTGCAGCTTCTCTGAATCCTGTCAACAGACCAGAGATAAGGCTTTAAGGAGCTACTCAGTGACAAACAAGCTACAGGAACTGGCTGTCACGGAGTTCAGCTGACAGGCAGCCCACAGCTGCCTTGCTGGCCTCCTAGAGACTCCTCAGGCAGAGCAGGACTTACGGGCACAGCAGCTTTGTGGTCAGTAATGGCTTTCACAAAACTCAGTGCCTCTGGAGTCGCCGATCGAATGTTGTCCACACGGCCCTCCTGAAATCGGCGGATGGACGCACTCTCATAGGTGGGCACAAGTCTCCTGTGGAGCCTGTGTAAGATGAAAGATGAATGGCAAATGGTGTTGCAGTCTCAGGAAACCATAAACGCTGAAAGAAAAATAGCCTCTGCAGGCTTTATTTTTGCAGTTCTGACTCTACTTGGCATAGTATTTCATTTTAATGTTAATAGAATTCTAGAGGAGATTTCCTAAAGATGAGTGTCAGGGAGTCAGTAATATGAAGAGCTATGTATGCTTTCATATACTCCTGACACTGTGTGGATATAAAATAAATAAGTGACTGGTAACTTTTCAAAAAATCCCAGTCTGGTGGGAAACCTAGAATTTTCTTTGAGACCTGATGAGTGTTTGATTGAAAGCACAGAATGGAATACTTGTGTAATTAATCATTCATACCCTTGAGGGAATCTTGTTTTATTTAGAATAATTCAAGCATGACCTGTGGATTGAGGCAGGGAGGGGGCTTTAGTCATCATGAGTGGAGAATGCTGCATAGACCAGCCTGTCCCAGGGCAGCTGAGCTTCCAACAGACCCATGGGTGCCATGGCTGTGCCTCTCCTCCCCGTTGTCTGTGACAGGCTCCCCACACCAGCTAGGGAGAGTCCGTTGCTTAGGCACGTGAACCAAGTGAGCACTCCAAGGCTTGCACACCTGCCTGGCACACATCTTTCTTATCAGTCAGTAAAGTCTTTGGTGTTAGTGGTGGGCAGGAGAAAGACACAGAATCACAGAGGGGTAGTGACAGCGTAACATCACACACAAGTCATGGTCCTGCATGCTGGCCTCACTGGGGCATGTATCTCCCATGTTGGGTCAGCTCTAGGAGGAGGAGGGCCAAGTGTGGTTCAGCACAGGGCTTGGCATTGTATCTTGGTGAGAACGTGAATAACTTTCTGTACACTTCTGTCTCCTTCCTCCTCCAGGAAGGACTCCGGCAAGGAGCTCACTTCCTGTATCTCTATGGCCCCTGGAGGCAAATGCCATGCTGAGCACAAAAGTAGAGGAAATCATTGGCCAGTCACTGATCAACCTCAATTTAGGCAGCTTTTGGGTTTCTGCTGAATCTAGGGGCAGATTTAAAAAAAATTTTTTTTTTTTTTGTTATGGCTTGGACTCTGAAGAATGTTCTCTAATGAAAGCAGATCCTATTTGGGCTGTTGGCTGAGCCCAGGAGCCTCTGGCCATGTCCACTGTTGGCCAAGTCGAGTGCCACAGAGATCACTTGAGGGTGGAGGAGGCGGTGCTCTGAGTGAGGTCCACTAGCCCCTCCTATTTCTGGAACTGAAATGCTCTCTGAAGGAACAGGTTCCAGCAGGACCTGGACCTCATGGCCCCTCTCAGCCACATGCCAGTATGAGAATGGAGACCATGGTTCTAGACACCAGGTGCTGCCACAGCTCAATGTCAGTGGGATCACTGTGTCTCCACCACAAGAACAGATCAGGTGGAGTGACATCAATCTTCTCCAAGGAGTCCCAGTGCTCAGAGTGGCTGAGGCCACTTCCTTTCCCTGTGAGTTATGACCCCTCTGGAGGACACTGGGATCTGGGATGCTGTGCCCACATGGGTGCCATCTGCTCACTAGTGAGACCTCCTTGCCCTGGCCTTATTGCAAAGTCACTCTATGCTCCCTCTGCCCCCATATATTGCAAAATAAAAACAGGTCCTGGTGGGGTCCTGTGCCAGTGTATGAGCTGTTGCTTTGGGAACAGTGGAACCAACAAGATCAGCCTTGTCTTGAGGATGATCTACTTTGCATTTTAGTTTAAGTCTCCTATAAAAGACCATTTGGCCTTCCTGCCTTGTCTTCAAACTCTACTTTTTTCTCTCCCCCAACTCAGAGCTACCACTAGAGAGATTTTTCTAAAGCACAGACCGGACTGTGTCACCCCCAGATAATACTCCTGTAGTGTCTTCTCAGGTCTGTGACTCAGTCCCTGATGCCTACTCTATGCCTGGTGTGTGAGATACCCAGAGGATCAGGTTTGGGAGAATGGTCTAGAAAACAAAATTGACAAATCAATGAACAAGGTAGCTCACATGAACAACAACTGCCATGAGAGAAAAAGAGAACACAATGTGATAGGCCAGAAAGCTGGGTGGTGAGGGGGTCTGAGGTGGCTGCTTTAGGTAAATGGGTCAGGGAAGGCCTCTGAGGGTTGACACACTCTGGGCAGAGACCTGAGGGATGGGAGGAGTTGGCATGTGAAGAGTGGTGGTGGCAGCAGGTGGGTGGGTGCAACGAGGCATAGCCAGAGTAAAGGGCTGGAGGCAGGAGAGAGCTTGGGAGGAGGGCCCAGCAGAGACTAGTTCACAGGGAGCCTTTCTAAACCTGGACTTTGTTCTACACATGGTGGGAAGCCACTGGGAAGGTTCAAAGTAGTAAGTGATAGAATCTGATTTGCATATTTCAAAGGCTATGATTCATGAAGCTGGGCATGGGAAGCAGAGCTCCCTGGGGGAACATGCTGCAGCTAAGCAAGCATGAGTTGATTAGGAAGAGGGCCAGTAGCCATGGAGCTGGAAGATAGAGGGTGGGTCTGAGAGACATCTGGAGGAAGAACATGGGGGTGGCATGGGTGAGAGAGGAGAGACAGGGATGAATCAAGGATGAGTTCACATTCTTTGACTTGACCCACAGGGGGATGGTGGTTCCATGTCCTTATCAAGAAACAGGACACAGCTACAGGGGCCAACGTGGGCTGGGTGAGGACAGGAGCAGGAGCAGTCTCCATTGCCCACCTTGTTAGCTCAGTGTTCCGGCTTTTTGAGCTCTGTGCACATGGGCCTTTGCTTGGGCAATTTCCTGACTGTGAGTCCTTCCTTCTCTTTTCTGGGATTGAATTCACACTTTGAATCCCAGTTCAGGTAGCACCTCTTTCCATGTAGCCTGCCCTGGTTGTCCCATCTTCTAAGCTCACAGAAAGTCATTCCTCCCTCCAGGATGCTTCTAGTCTCTAGAGTCTAGAGCAGTTTGTCAGGCAGCCCACCTGAGCAGAGTCATTCTGCTAGCAGGCTTTGCTCACCTGTAGAAGGCCAGCTGGAGGGCCACCTGGATGAAGGCATCAGGACTGCATTTCTGCTTCTTAATGAATGTTTTCCCGAAGATGTCAAACTTGTAAACAGTGAAGTCGAGATTCTTTACTATTCTGTGGAAGAAACAGAAGAGATGCTACTACATGCAAAATAGAATGCACACACTGCAAAGTCTAACCAAGTTGCTCAAGCTTGATTTATGACTCTCGAGGACATGGTCCTTGCCCACCAGGAACATAGGTGTCAGACAGGCCTTGACATACGGAAGTGGCAGATGGCATGCCAGATCAGGGTTCCTCTGAGCTGAAGAGGAGGCTTGGTTGGGCAGGGCAGTGGCCCTGCTTCTGGGGATGGGGGGTGGGGGTGGCTGGGGGCAGGGAGGGGCCTGGGGGCACTGGGACCTGGGAGACATTTGCATGGGCAGGGAGAACACTGCCCACAAACAAAATCCTAGAAGCCCGTTGCCCACAGAAATGGGCCTGAAAGAGGCAATGCATCTGTTTAGGAAGGTGTTTGTCTCACATCCTGATTCTTTTGGCATCCTGGCCACAGACCTGACACACCACTTTTGCCCAAGGTAAAGCCCATTTCTCAGATAAGCCTTATCTCTTCACAAGAGTCCTCCCTGTTGTTCTATGAGAAGAAATGCCTGGAGCCTCCCTGGTGGTCAAGGTCACCACTGCAAGGGCTGCTCATCTGGGCTTTGCTGGTAACTGTGAACCCATTTTACCTGGAAACTACTGCTGAGCTTCCCAGGTCTTTACTGCCCATGAGTCACTGTCAGAATAATAGGTCGATTCCCTGAGTCTCCACTGAGACCCCTGAGCACTGATCTCCCCCTACCAATATTGACCAGTCTCTCCCCCATGATGAGGCTGGGCTCTGGGCTGACTGTCCACTGGGGCAACATTTGGCAGGGTCCACACTATCTGTCCACTGGCTGTATGTGAATGCAGAGCCCTGGGTAGGCAACCCCAACCCTCCACTCACATACTTCCTCAGGACTCAGATGCTCTCCTTGAATTATTCCCCCTGCCTCATGGGAGCTGAGCTCTCAGGGGGCCGTGCCAGGTTCTGGGGACCCAGGGAGACTCATCCCTCAGTCCCCAGCCTGCTAGCCGACTGTCCCTGGACAGGCTGAGCTCATGGTCACACAGACACCTGGAAACCTCTTGCTCAGACTGTGCACTCAGACCCTTCAGGCAGCTCCTCCTGCTTTCCCACTTTCAGGCTTCTCTTGGCTCCCCAGCTCTGGAAAGAGAACTTTAGGGGCCCCACTCAGATCTCTGAAAGAGGAGTGGGCACCTTTCTCCATCCCGGGCTGGCCCGCCCACCAACCCACTCTCCTAAAGGGCTGCTCATCCCAAGAATAGCCCTGTAAGGTTGGATATTAGCACGATTTGTAGATGAACAGCCAAGGCCTCTCCGACTTTCCTGCCACAGCCAGCCAGCCCCCACAGCAGCTTGCAGCAGACTTGTCCTCCCTGCCCTCCGAGCCTGACCATGATCGCTCCCGCTCACCCGTGCTCTTCCCACAGTCTCCTCACTGGCTCCCTGAAGCCCTGCAGGGGCTCCTCCCCATAACACAAGACCAGCACAGCTCTTCACAACGTGGCCTCAACTTCCATTTAGTGCCTCTGTTCTGGCCATTCTCTCACTTGCTGGTTTCAAAAACAACCTGGATCCTCTATGAACAAGCTTGAACAAGCTGCCTTTCTGCCTCTTCTCCAGCTGCCCGCACCGTGAACTATCATCCCTAAAGCCCATTACTGCCAAGCCTTCCCACAGTGTCCTGGTGGAATTCCACTCCTGTGTCCTCTGTGGGCTCAGGCCTGTATGCCTTTCTCTCTGGTTTGGGCACTTACTGTGTCACACATGTTTAGTTTAGTTTAGCCTGCAGTGTGGAGGGCAGGCTCCGTGGCATATTAGTTTCTGTGTCCTCAGCCTTTCTATTATAGTCCTGGCACACTCACATCTTTGATGAGTGAATGAATGAATGAATGATGAATGAATGAATGAACGAATGCTGTTCACTGACTGAATGAGGGAATGAACAACCAAGGGCCAGATCTAATCCAGTTGCCAGCCTGCAGCTGCCACTGTGCCCCTGCAGGTCCCCTTCTCCTGCGCGGGGTTCCCGTTAGGGACTGAACTGCCTCTCAGCCCTTGGGGAGAAAGGCCCCCTTGTCTAGTTGCGGTATAAGTTCAAGCAAATTGAAATAGCTTGGATTCAAATGACCTATTCAAACCAGTTGTTTATTACTCCCCCTGAAAGCAAGGGAATGATTTCCTCACCTCGACTCTGCTCAGGCAGGTGAAACCCATGAAAAAATAGCTCCATGTTTGCATTTTATGGAAATGATGGAGACCTCTGCAATGTTATTTCCCCAAGAGTTAAAGTCCCCTTTAGTTTGACTAACATTTCCATGAGGGGGCAGGCGAGGGGAGGCAGAAGAGCTGGGGTCTTGGGAAGCTTCCAGGGTGCCTCATCATCCTCAGTGGAGGGGTCTGGGGTGGGGGTGGACATGGGGTGACCCCAGAGCACCACCCTCAAAGAGACTTGCACTTTCTACCGTTGAAGTTTTTCCGCCGAGGAGGCTAAGAGGCCTTGAATTTCTGGGGAGCATTTCCAACGCAGCCTCCTGGGGGCCGGGAGCTCACTGACAGAGTCGGCTCGGACCAGCTTCTTGCCGCTCTTCACCCTGCTGGCACAAAGAGGCAACCACCTGAAGCCGGGAGCTGGGGGCTGCAGGCAGCAGTTCCTGCCCTCTGCAGTCCTCCTTGCTGGTGGACCTTCAGTGAGCTGTCCCCTGGATCGACTGCACAGATAAATAGACTGACGCTTGGTCAGAGATGCCACCCAAATAAGCACATGGCACAGCCAGGATTCCGGCCAGTTCCACCTGACTCCAGAGCCTGGTGTTTACTTTCACGTTTCCTGCTCCACCACATTCTACAACTGACACTTAGGAAACAGTTGGAGAAAAATTGAAGAAGCAAACTGTTGTTTTGTCTATGAGGGCTGGTATGGGCTTTTAGGGATTCTAAACAGTTCCTAAAGCATGGAAGAGATTTAGAACTTAGATTCAGGGAGAAGATTCTGGACAGGAAGGAATGAGCAAAACACAAATTGTTGGAAGGAACCCAGTGTGTTTAAGGGATAAGAAGCACTCAGTCCAGCCAGCTTGGAAGCTAGGGAGGAAGGTCCAGCCCAAGGAGATGGAGGAGGTGCAGCTCAGAGACCTCCCCTCCTTTGTGCTGGATCAACAGTCGGCCCAACTCTGACTCAGAACAAGTGCTAGGTATGGATCTGGGCTTCCCTGGGACAAAGCAGATGTTCCTTTTTGGCTGAGAATTCTTGGCCACGCTTCCCCTCACTGCCTTCACCGTGGTCCTGTCTGCCCCTTCTGTCTGTGGCAGATAAAAGTATATGATGTCAAATTGGTTTTCAAATCCATCTTTTGCTAAGACACTTTCCAGACTAATGCAGCCCCCCGGTGGCCACCCACATTTTTCTTGGTCAGCTTGGAGGCCCCTTGGCAGTCTGGTTTTGCCTCCCATGGCTGCTGCTGAGGGGCCCTGCCCCCAGACTCACATGTGCTTCAGCAGATGCTCTGTGCACTGTACCAGGACGATGCCGTCAAACGGGGAGTGTTCGCACACTACGCCACAAGTGCCATCTCGTCCCACCACAAACTGCAACAAGGAAGAAAGAGGTGAGTGGATCTCAGGTAGAGTCTGCATTTCAGACTAGCCCCTTGGTTCCAGGCCAGGTCTTCCAGGCCTCTAAGGGGGATCTCTCCTCCAAGGATACCAAAGCATGTTATCTCTGGAAAAGAATGCTATATGAAATTGCCATGACCTGAGAATATGGGGGCCTCAAGATAGCTCTATGATGTCATCACCTTCCCAGACATGATCTGGACAGTGAGGCCAGAGGCCAAAGCTCTGTGGCTAGAGGAGCCCAGTGACTCCTAAGAGCTCACACTGAAGCTGTGCACACTTTCCTTAGCTCATGGGCAAGTTCCTTTGGCTTAAGTACTGTTTCCCCCTCATGGTGTGTAACAGGGCCACAATCCTACACAGCCTTGTGTGATCATGTGTCTAAATGGAACCTGTACATTTAGCCACCGTTGATTTTATTCCCAGGATCTAGACCAGGGTCTACCTGGTAGTAGGTGCTCAGTAACTTGGTTGAATGAGTGAATGAGAGGTAATGATCCAAGTTGGATGGTGTGCAGATTCCTAGGGAGAAATGAACTGTCATTTGAAGGGAGTGAAGGAAAGGTGTTCTGAGGATGCTCCACTAACTGCTGCCTGGGCTTCCCTTCAGGGACCTGGACTCCAGGTCTGCCGCACACCCTGGCAGTTGGGAAATCTTCAACAAGACATCTCAGCTCTCTGGCTTCAGTGTGCTCCCATTGAAAATGGATCCAATAAAACCCAGTTCACAGGATTGATAGGAGGATTGGAGAGAAGGTATAGGAAAGGTCCACAGCCTTTGTACTTAGCTAACTTCAAAAAGGGACATACTCAACACATACAGAAATGCTGGGAAAAAATAATGAGAATGTGAGATTTGATTGTTAATGTATGACCTGGATAAGGTGGGCTGCCCATAGTTCAGCTCAGCAAGCACAGCGTCACATGCAAGAGAATCTAGTCCACCATCCGCAAACAAACCAGCAAACAAACAAGCTATTGGCATTCTTACTGATGCTCTTCTAGGGCATTGGCACAGTCAAACACATGTGAGCTGACTCCCCTGATGTCTTCTCCCGTCCCTCACGTGCCAGTGTATATAGTGTGCCCGAATCTTTACTCCTACTCTTTAAACGACCTCCCCACATGGTCTTGCTCAAGGCTGATCCTTGCAGGTTCTTTTCTCTTTCTCCCCAATGTCCTCTGCTTCTCCATCCTGAGACTAGCTCCTGATCTTTTCAATTCAGGTCCATGGAGCCTGTTTGGCTTTCCCAGCTCATCTGATCATCTGTCCTGCCTCTGAAAAGAGCCCAGGGGTGGGCACAGTCACCCATGTGAGGCAGGAGGGGAAGACTGTGCCCACTCATGCATTAGTGCTTTTCTGTTCTTGCCACTGAAACAAAAGGGAGGAAAAGAAAACCACTACCCTGGCTTGCTATGTTTCTGGTTCTGTACTTCCATTATATCATTTCATTCCCATAGCTGCTCCATGAAAGATAACAAGCCATTAGCACCACTGTAGAGGCTAAAATAGCCAGCACAGCAGCAAGAGAACTCATCAGAAATAGTAGAATCAATATGCAAACCAATAAAAGCATATAGGGGCCAGAGAAAGAGAAAAATGAAATGTTGCTTATTGGTGGGAGAGATACTAGCCCAAAGCATAGCGATCATTGGCTATTTAATGTGGTCATTGTGAAAGTGGGGTGGCTTTAAAAATAAACAAGGTTCAATTCAGGATTGACACAGGGGAGAAAAAAGGTTGGAGGAACAGGAAAGAATGGACCCAACCTCGACCTCACCTGCACCTGCTGGAGTATTTTTCTCCAGGTCAAACTGAGTGTCATGTTTCTGAATTGATGTCATGAGAATGAAAAATATATGAATTGCTTTATTTCATTTTATGACTTTCCTTGTATGGAGATGCTGGACTGTCCTACTTCTCAGGGATGGAATGTAGTGTGTTGAAATGGCCAGCAGGTAGGAGCGATGGAGATTCAGAAAGGCTGGCCTCTCTGGGCATCAGACATGATTCTTGCTGAATGCATTGAGGAAGTGTTGAGCGGGCCCCCAGGATACGCCCACCTTACAGTGTGTGCTGGGAGATGGGGAATGAGCCCCAGCTCTGACCCAGAGGTCCACACGCCTGGCCCAGGCTACAGGAAGGTTGGGAGTTTGAGTTGGGTTTGGTCACTTGCTCCTGAGAAGAGTTCCGGCCAGTCCAGAGGCTGATACCAGTGGCACATTTCCAGTGCCTTCAGCTCCCTTGGCCCCAGATGCAGCATAGGCCAGGGAGTGAGCATCTGCTGACTCAGGCCCCTGGCCAAGCCACTGGGGAAGCTTACCTGTAGGGATTTGTCATACCAGCGGTTTGCCCCATTCTTGCTGCAGCCTCCACCATGAAGGAGCTGGAGCGCCCTGTTGGTGTCGCTGAGATCCACACCTCCCGGGGCGTCCAGGCACACGAGGCAGATGCAGCGTTCAATCATATCCAGGGCGTCCCGGTTGGTGGAGTCTGCAGGCCAGGCAAACAAGGCCTTAGCACCTACCCTCCAAACCAGGTCTGAGGTCCCCTCCACAGAACCCCACACAGCATAGGCAGGCACACACATGGACACCCAGCCCTTGAGTCAGTCCTGACCTGACTTCTCTCCCAAATCCAGTGGGTGGGCCATGAAATCAGACAGACTGTCCTGAACTTCTGCGTTAATCCCAGCAGCCAGCTTACTGTCATGGTCTCTGCAAGAATCCCACTCACTCTTTAGCTGTGGCCAGATCTTCCCCAGATGGATGGTCGCTGGACCTGCCTTCCAGGATGCAGGGACTCATGCGGGGCCTTCTGCATGGACATTAGATCCTCAGGCCAGCCTTTGCCAGGGGAGGAGCTCCAATTCCTCCATCCAACAGTACTGCTCCCTGATACCCCCCCACCCCTACCACTGCAGCATTTGAGAGCTGCATCTGGGTCCTGAACTAAAATTTTTAAATATTAGGTGCTGAAATTTAAAAATCAGTCCTCTTCACATGAAAAGCTGAAGTAAAGGAGTCAAAGTCTTGCTCTCCCAGCCTCCTGCCACCTCAGCAACTATTTCAATGCAGAGTGCAGATGGAAGGGCCAGGCTGCCCCAAAGCCATATCCACATGAGCCCATTTGGGTCATTTCAGGCATGTGGAACTCCTCAGGACAAATAGGCTAGGAGCCACTGAGTTGTGCCAGAGATGTGCCACCAAGGCAGCTTGATTTCTCCATGGGGGACAATTGGGTACGGGGTTCCTCCCTGAAGAGAGCTGGGCCAGCCAGATGGGCTGCCCCTGGGCAGCCTCCTCCACCTCCATCACCTCCTCTACCCAGACTTTAGGGCTGGATGCTGTTACAGGATGAGGTGCAGGGTTACCTCTCCCTGCCAAGTCTCAGAGCATCCTATGCATGGAAGATGGGGTGCAAAGTATTTGGAAGCAAGGGCGCACTGTGGGGAAGAGACTGCTAGCTGCATATGGCAATACCCATTCTCCCTTGAGTCATGGAATGCCCAGTTTTAGCTTGGCACAGGGGAACCAGAACTAAAGCTGCATTGCCCAGCCTCCCTTAGGGGGAAGCCACACATAGAAATTCTGCTAACAAAATTTAGAAACACTATATGACAGCTTCCAAGAGACTTACTTAAAAATAACTAGCATGTCTTCTTTGCCCTTCCCACTTTCCTCTATCCATTGCTGGGACACAGGTGTGATGGCTGGACCTCTAGCCTCCATTTTGGATCATATGGATGTGGGCCACACAATTGCAGGAAGATAGAAGAACCCTAGCCACCATGTATCAGCTCTGGGTGGCTTACTTCTGGTATACATGAGAGAGAGAGAGTGAAAAACCTCTGTTTTCCTTAAGCCACTATTATTTTATGTCCTCTGTCATATGTGGCCAAATGTAATCCTAACTGACCCATCTGGTGATGTTGGGTGCACGTTCTCCTACCGCAAGACTTAACTGGAGCTGAGAAGCTGCATCCTTGGTTTACCATAGTCTTCTCTCATTCATTCAACCCCCTTGGTCCCTGTAGGTATTGAAATTCAAGGTCCCTGTCCAGGAGGCCATTTGTCAGAGAGAAACATTCTTCAGGCTGAGGAGTCCCCCAAGATGACAGTCAGGATCCTCCCTGCTCCCTCTTGTCCCATCAAAGCAGGCACTTGGGCAGGCCCTGGTCCTGAGTGCTGACCCTTCTATTTCCTGTAGTCAGCCCAAGCCCAGGCACACACACACCCCTGCTCCTGCCCTTCCCCTCCCGACTGGGATCCCACTTCCTGCTGAGTCAGAACTCCCTCTGTCAGAGTCCCTGGCTCTGGAGGCTTCTCTTCTTCCAGAGCCTCAAGCCAAAGGGGAAAAAAAAAAAAAAGCCCATAATCTCTCACAGCCATCTGAAATCTGCTTTCCTGAAGTCCAGGGAACATGTGGGAGCAGGTGTGGCTTCCACACCCCCAGCATCAGTGTTGGTCTTGCCTGTGGGCTAGAGCCAGGCACAACACTACCTTCCCCAGGCAGTGGGAGGCCAAGTCCATACACAGTCTGACACTGCCAATGGGAGCCTGTCCTTCCTTATGTCTAGCTAGGGACCCAGGGTGGCCTTCGATGAGGTCCTGTCTGTTCCTCTCTGCTCTTGGCCTCACATTGACCCTCCCTGGGGTATGTGGTGACTTCCCCCTCCCAGTGCAGTCAGCCTTGAGTGGGGCAGTCCTAAGACCCTTCCCTGGGCCTCCTCAACATGTGCTAGGCACACAATGCTAAGCCCACCTCTGCTGGTCCCTGCTCTGCCCATGTGGTTTCTCCAGTTCATGAGAGGTATCCATGCGTAATCTCATGTGAACAAAATCTCTAGTCCCCACCCATATCCTTCCTCCCACTTCTTGCAAATCTCTCTCACAGAAAGCCTTCTGCTCTGAGGAGAATGAAGAGCAAGCCAGCCCAGCATTGGGTCATCTGTTCCCCATTTCCTGTGTAGAATGAGGGCTTGGAGAGCACTATATTTTCAAGACACGCCCCCCTTGATCCTGATGGGGCCAGGATGACTCATTATCTTCTGCATGGCCTCTTGTGCTTTCCTGGAGTCTGATCAACTCCAAGGCTTGAGGCCATGACTTCAGGATCTAAAGGTAAAGGTAACCTGGCTGATGCTCTGGGGAAATTCCCTCTGCTCAAGTGTGTTGCAATCATTGTGTCACCATCTTCAATCTGAAATAACTTCTACTGCCCATGAGGTTGTGTCTAAATAGAGCCCTTTGGGCTCCATGGCTCACCATGCTGCCCCTTCAGGGTCATCTCCCCTGAATCCCTGCAGGGACCTCATGCTTCCTACCATTCTCTGGACACCTGGGCTCATTCACCTCTTCATCGTAGCATAGGATGTCTCCTGGATAGGGGCTCTTCTCTTTCTCTGCCTATCAAAGTTCCACTCATAAACCCCTCCCCAGCTCCCCGATCCTCTAACAGGGCTGACCCTATGTTTGATGTAGGTAGGAACAGCCCAGACAGAGCTCTTGCCCTCCAGAACTCCTCACATCCAGAGCATGCCAGTTGCTTATTCAATGCAGACAAGGAACCTCTGCTCTGTTCATCAGGCTGGCCTCGTACAGCACCTGGGGCCAGGGCTAGACCAGTCCCCTCTGTACCCATTGTCTCCTACTACATTGTGCATGCTCCTACAGCACATGACCCTGTTGCTGACTTCAGACATTCCCATGTTTCAAACACTGCCAGTCCAGCCCCAGAAGCCCTGATCTAGTCTCCTCCCCCATGTCTGTGAACTTGCAGAGGGTGGCGCCTCAGTTGCCCACGTGGGTACAGGAAAGTGTCCATGGACAGGTGAGGCTGAGACTTGTGTCCACGCTCAGAGAAGGAATCTTGGAGTTCAGTGGGCTTGAGGCTTTGGGGCATGGAGTCTCATAGGATGGGGGGATGGTGAGAGGTTGGGAGAGGATGGAGATAGAGAAGGAATTCCTTATCCTTTGTGAGGCTCCCAGCCCTGGTCCTCTTTGCTCCAATAGGAGTCCCTGCCAATGGTTCTGGTGACTGACCCTGCCCTGTGTGCTATTCTGGGGGTTCCTCTGGGCTCCCAGGCTGGCTGGTGACTTCAGAGCATGAGAAGTCCTTGGCCAGGCTGGGATCAAATTCAAATGGGCAGAGAGGAAGGGAGAAGCATGTCAGGAGATAACAATGCTGGAAAAGGTTCTGAGGGCTAAGGTGTAGACACCCTGGCTTGTGGGTAGAGCTTGTGGGTGAGAAGACCACCCCTGGCTGCAGTTCATTGTAGGTGAAGGCATAAAGGATTTAGGTGAGATTGAAGAATGCAGTGAAGTGATGCTATTAGTTAACCTTTGTCGACCATCTACTACATGCCTGGCATCAATCTAAGTCCTCATATTGATGAACATGATATAAGAATTTTTATCATCCCCATTCACAGAGAAGCTAAACGTCTTGCTTAAGGTCATCCAGCAAATTGAGGGAGTTAGACTTGATCCCAGATATGCAACCTCAATGCCCAGGCTGGGGACAGATCATCAAGGGCTGTGAATAGCAGGATCAGGAAGTGGACCTCATGAGCAATGACAAGAAGCCACCAAAGTATCTTGGGCAGGGGCTGATGTGGTCAGAGCAGAGTCTAGGATGCCTAGCAGTTTGGGGAGGATGTGGGCCTGGTGGGCAGTTAAGGGATCATTGGCAGCCCCAGTGCTGCACATCTAGGCCCTGTTGATCAGGTAGGTCTCAGTGAGCTCTGAGACCCCTGGCTGAGTATCTGCCTAACTAAAATTTCCTTAGTAACAGCTCCTAGGCCAATGTGGAGTGGGCAGGCTATAGCTCCTCCAGGAAACCCATAGCAGGCCTGTCTAGTCAGGATGCTGGGGAATAGACCTAACACATCCTTTGGGCAGGAGAGTGAAGGCTTGGCACACTCCCTCCCAGCTGGACAAGCAAAGCTGACAGCAAACAAGGACAGCTTCCTAGGCATCAGTGCCCCAGCCGCCTCCAGGCAGGAGAGAAGGCCCTCCAAGGAGGGACTGAGCCATCATCATCACGTGCAGGTTGTGCAGGGCCCCAGAGCTCAGCACCAACCAATAGTAACCAGGTCCTGGCTCATTAGGCAGGATGAAATGGGAGCAGGACAGCCGAGCTGGGATGCCAGGTGGCCTTGCAAATGAACTCCCTGCATACAAGTAGCTGATCGGTCAAAGGCTGACAAGTTTATCATGTAAGGCAGAAAATGAACTACACCAAACTCATCCACCATGACTCTGGCCCAAATGTAATGGAAACAGGGGGCGGTGGGCTGGAGGCATGCAGCAGGAGCCGTTTGTCTTGTGACATTCTCATCGAGCACACAGAGGCTCGTTTAATGTAGTAAATCAATCTTCCTCAAGGAGCCCCTGCTTAATAGTGAGAATTTGGAGTTGAGTAATAGGAGGAGCTGGCTCTGCCACCATGCCTGGAGAGTTGATAGCTTTGGTGATGAGGAAATTCCAGAG